TTGCATTCCTACCAACAGTGGAAGAGGGTTCCCGTTTCTCCACATCCTCGCCAGCATCTATAGTCTCCTGATTTGTTCAATTTGGCCACTCTGACTGGCGTGAGGTGATATCTGAGTGTGGTTTTGATTTGTATTTCCCTGATGAGGAGCGATGTTGAGCATCTTTTCATGTGCCTATTGGCCATCTGGATGTCTTCTTTAGAGAAGTATCTATTCGTGTTTTCTGCCCATTTCTTCACTGAATCTTTTCATTTTAAAGTCCAATTAAATTTCAGTTCTAATTTGTACTTCATAGTTTCTTAGTTGGATCACAGCTTTTAGACATCTTCTACCCTTCCTACCTTAACCATAATTCTGGTTGCCCTTTTCTGTTTCTTGTAGTATTCCTATCATACTCTTAAGTTTTCTTATTTTTTCATTCATATTCCCTTTCTACCATTTACACCCTAAGTCAATTTCATGTTTCTTACATTTCTGAGAACATGTTTATTTCAAACTTAAAATTGGTTTGATATAGAATTATACATTGAAAATAACATGCTCTCAACACTGAAGGAATTGTTCCATTATCTGCCAATATCTAGTGCTGCTAAATACTAGTCCAAGCCCAGTCAATCTCATTGTTTGTCACTGTTGCGTTTTTTTTTTTTTTTTTTTTTTTTTTTTTTTTTTGGTCAGACATTCTTTTTATCTATAATGATCTAAAATATCACAGTATGTCTGGGTGTCTGTCTTTTCCCATTCCTCTTATGCAGAACCTAGGGAGTAATTTTAAGTGTGGAGACTTAGTCTCCTTTAATTGTATTGTGTCTCCAGAAGTATTTCCTCCATGCTCGCTTCTTTTTCTAGGTCTCCTCTGAAAGTTGAAATTTGGGGGTTATATCTCTGGGTTCCTTCCTCTTTTCTTTTTCCAAATGTCGTCCACCTGTGAATTTTTTGTTTTTTGAATTTTATTTAACTCTATCTTCTTACATTGGTATTTAATTTGAACAGTCATATGTTAAATTTTAAATGCTGTCCTTTACTTTCTTTGTTCCTTTTCTGTGATACCATTATGTGTGTGTGTGTGTGTGTGTGTGTGTGTGTGTGTGTGTGTGTGTGTGTTTGTTGAATACTATTGGAAGAAGCAGTCTGTCAGGGGCCCTGAGGATCCCTGCATGTTTTTACCGGTTATGCCAAGAAGGCATAGGCTTGGCTGCTCTTTTCCTGGACATGTACAGTGAGAAGCCTTAAGGAAGGAAATAATGTCTTCCACTGAACAAAGCACATTTATTTCATTTATTAGAAAAACAGTAAGTGCCTCAAACTTGTTCCTCTCCTGTAACACAGTTAACTGTGTGCTGGCATTCATGAGGGACCCTTTGTGTCACTGGTAAGATTTGGGGGCAAGAGGAACTGATGCTAACAAACACGAAGTAATAAAGTCCTTCCTTTGTCTCTGACCCCACCGTCTCATCTTTTCTGCCAGCATCCATGAAACGGTAACAGGGTAGCTTGTTAGCTTGTACATAAGACAGTTTCTTCTGGAATCTGTTTTGTTTTTTAAATCATGTCAGGTTTTCCTCAAATATAAGGTGATTTTTTTTTTTTTTTTTTCATTTCGCCATAGAAAGACTAACATTGGGACTGGTTGGGAGTGGGGCAGAAGTTTGGGTCTTCTGTTCTCTATAAAGAAATTTAATTATCTCTATTTTGAGTTCCATTTCTTACCTCCAGACTCTGCTGCTTCTTAACCCAGCACTTTTCCTAACTCTTTCCTGCACTGCAGTCTCACTTTGTGATTGTACCCTTCTCCATCAAAACTTTGCCACTAGCTTTCTGTTTTCCAGGTACTTCATGAAATCTCTTATCTGCTGCTGACTGTCCTCCAAGTCTTTTATGTTATGATGAGATTGTGCATTTTTATCTCTTCCATTTTGGGGAGAAGAAGAAGATAAACTCCTTTCTTAATTATATGGAGGGAACACACTTTTTAAAAAAAAATGCTTTAATGATCCCATGTTGCTTTTTTTTTTTTTTTTTAATTTTTTTTTCAACGTTTATTTATTTTTGGGACAGAGAGAGACAGAGCATGAACGGGGGAGGGGCAGAGAGAGAGGGAGACACAGAATCGGAAACAGGCTCCGGGCTCTGAGCCATCAGCCCAGAGCCTGACGCGGGGCTCGAACTCCCGGACCGCGAGATCGTGACCTGGCTGAAGTCGGACGCTTAACCGACTGCGCCACCCAGGCGCCCCCCCATGTTGCTTTTTGTTTCTAGACTGTGGTTACGTCCTTCTAGTAATACTCCAACTGTACACTTAAATATAAAGCTTTGATATCCAGAAAATCAGCAAAATGTCCAACAGAAATTCAAAATAGGAGTGACTATTATTCATAGAGGAGGGCTTATTTGTGGCATTTGGTTCGGCCACCAGACAAGTTTTTGCTGACTTACAGTAATTTTGAGTGTAATTGCATTTTTAGATAAATGGAATATATAAAGATGCAGTATAACTGCATTTACAATTTAAAACATGCCTATGTTTTTGTCTCTGTTAAACTGAATTGCTAATATTCTTAAAATCTGCTTTATGTTTTTTACTAAAGGTCATTCGAAGATTTAAAATATATATATAGGGGATGCCATAAACTCTAGAATAAGAGTTGTCGCTTATTTAAAGGGCCATGCCAGGCTTTCAGTCCACACAACTTCCATTACAACTACTCAACTGTGTCCTTACACAGCACAGTAGCCGTCATAGCAATATGTAAAGGAGTCATTGTGGCTGTGGTGCAGAAAACCTTTATGGACAACGCAGTATGAATCTTACATAGTTTTCAAATATCCTGGACTATTTCTTCTATTTTTTTTTTTTTTACAACCATGTAAAAATATAAAAATAATGCTTGCAGTATGTGTAGAAATTAGCCAACCCATGTGTTAGAATTACCTGTTTTACTAATAGCTTTGTTAGTGCTTGAGTGCTGACTTGTTTTTACTCTGCCCCATTATCTTTATCAGGCAAGCTAATGAAGAATATCAAATACTGGCTAACTCCTGGCGCTATTCGTCTGCTTTCTGTAACAAACTCTTCTTCAGTATGGTGGACTATGATGAGGGGACAGATGTTTTTCAACAGGTAAAAGAGTTGTTTCTTATTTTGCTACTATATATGATAGAGTTGGTTATGGTCGGTACATTTTTGTTTGCCAAGTAAAAATACAATTCGTTGAATAAGTCAATAAATACAATGAGTAGTTGTAATGAATCGTGTGATAGGATTAAAGTAATTTTAGCCAGTATTATCTTTGTCAGTGCACAGTTTTTTCTATTAGTGTGTGTGGTAAACACATGTTAACTTTTTCATTATGGAAGAAATATGTCTTTTCAGGTATATAGTGGTAGTTTACATCCATTACCCTTCCTTATTTTGATATTTAACTGTATTGGGTTTAGGTGATATTTTGCACCAATTTTTGAAATTTTGTATAAATTCAATGTAATTTTTACTTAACCCTCACTGCTTCTGGTGTGAAAGATACCGAGAACTTCACATGTAGAGTATTAAATATTTATTTAAAAGTGTTCTCTGTGGTGGACTGAATTGTGTCCCTCCCATAACCCCAAAGTGACTGTATTTGGAGATAGGGCCTTTAAGGAGATAATTAAGGTTAAATGACATCATAGAATGGGACACTAATTCAATAGGACTGGTGTCCTCATAAGAAGAAAAGACACTAGGAGAATACGTGCACAGAGGAAAGGCCACATAAGGACACTCCAAGAAGATGACTGTCTGCAAAAAAGCAAGAGAGGTCTCTTTAGGAAACAGTTCTACTGCTGTCTGAATCTTGGTCTTCTAGCCTCCAGAGCTGTAAGAAAACAGATTTCTGTTTTTTAAGCCACTCAGTCCATGGTATTCTGTTACGGCAACCCAGGCAGAAGAATACATTCTCATTTACATAGTCTTCTCTGTAGAGCAAGGTAATGAATTGTGGCGTAAGGATGCTAGTGGTCATGACTTTTGTCATGGTTGTGTCATCATCTTTCCTAAACTCATGTTCCAAGCACTCTTTGAAATGCTTAATAAGTATTCTTTCATTTAGTTTCACAATGAGAAAATATTCTGATCTCCATTTCACAAATAAGGAAGTTAAGGTATGGGGAGGTTGCTTAGCTAAGTTTACAAATTTAGTATCATTTAGGGCTAGAATTTGAGCTCAGCAGTCTGGCTCCCAGGGCTCTAGTTCTTAATTATGCTGTTATCCTGCGCTTATTAATATATTTATATTTATACCGCATGATCAGTGCCTTTCAAATGTAAAACTTATGTTAGTACCTGGCATTGACTAGTTTGGTCTATTTTATTTTTCTCATATGTGACATTCTTTGGCTTAAGACTTTACCAGGTCATAGAAAAGCACTTAGTTTTGTAAAGAATCTAGATCACTAACTATAAATGGGCCATTAGTAAGTAGTTTTGCTTGTTTGCTTCCAGATTGATTATTCATTCCTCTTTGTCAGTTTCCAGTTGAATGAGAGAAATTCTCTCTTTACCTTCAAAACCCTTTATTCTTGGTCATTCCTGTTAGGTTTCCTTACTTATTTTTCCCCTATAAATTTATTTTGCTTTTGGGATGTTTCTTTTTGTTCACCTGTTTAGCAAATATTATTGACTGTCTACAGAGCAATGGATGCGAGAGAAACATACACATAGCTCTTACCCATAAAGAGATTATGGATCAGAGAGCTGATAATAATAGTAATAATATAATAATAAAAACATATAGAGGCACCTGGGTGACTCAGCTGGTTAAGCATCTAACTCTTGATTTCAGCTCAGGTCATGATCTCACTGTTTGTGAGTTCGAGTCCCATGTCGGGCTCTGCTCTGACAGTATGGAGCTTGCTTGGGATTCTCTCTCCCTCTGCCCTTCCTCTGCTCGCTTGCTCACTCTCTCTCTCTCTCTCTCTCAAAATAAATAAATAAACGTTAAAAAATGCATATGTACAGATCTTCTTCAACTTATGATGGGGTTATGTCCCAATATACCCATTATAAGTTGAAAATATTACAAGTAAAAAATGCATTTAATACACTTAACTACTGAACCTTATAGTTTAGCCTTACCTTAAATGTGGTCAGAGCACTTACATTAGTCTACAGTTGGACAAAATCAGTTAACACAGTCTGTTTCCTATTAAAGTGTTGAATATCTTTGTAATTTATTGAATATGGTAGTGAAAGTGAAAATCAGAATGGTTATATGGATACAGAATGGTTGTCACTGTATCAGTTGTTTACCCTCATGATTGCATGGCTGACTGAGGGCTGTGACTCACCGCCCTCGTCCAGCATCAGGAGCTAGTATTGTATTGCATATTACTAGCCCACAAAAAGATCCAAGTTCAAAATTTGAAGTACAGTTTCTAATGAGTGTGTATTACTTTGGTACCATTGTAAGGTCCAAAAATTATAAAGTTGAACCATCGTTAGTCAGGGACCGTCTGTAATTTCAAATAACATTAATGTTGTTTACAGGTCTCCGTAGAATCTCAGGAGAATTGACCTTAGAGATAATCAGTTGAAGTGCTGTTCATTATTAGGAAATAGTTGTCCAGGTCTGATCTGATGGCTAGAGCAGAGGCTTCAAGCCCAAACATCTACTCGGCCAAGTTTGTAAATTAAATGAAGAAATCAGATTGGATTAGCTTAATTTCATTGTGGTATGTTTATTTACATATATTCTTGATATATTGAACACATTCGTTCTTGACTTGCTTAATTACTTATGTTTTCTCCTATTAAAACAAAGTCTTGGTCTTTTTTTTTTTTAATCTTTGATGGAAATACTATTTCATTTTTCTCCTAACTACTGTAAGAAATAAAGCCAGTAAAACACAGTGGAACTAACCATTGGTCTCATTGTTGAGGAAACAATATGGTGTGGATGAGGACTACAGCAAAGTGGAGAGGATAAACTTGACCTCAGTGAGAGAGATAGAGCTCATTTGAGCTCTGTTGAGCAAATGCAGGCCACATGTAGCTGTTTTTCCAAGAAGGAATCCAAATATGAATTTTTACAAAGTTTGGCATAGATAGGAAAATTGACATAAAGATTGTGTTTAATTGAAAAATTTCCTCAGGTTAATTTTTTTTCAGCTGAATTCTGACTGTAGAACTACTTTGTCTTTTCTAAACCTAGCCCCTTGCTTAGCAGTAAGAGTTATTTTAAAATGCATAAAAGTTGTGACAGTTAACAATTTTTATGGGAAACTTTAATCTAAAAAATACGGAAGTGCACATTTTGCTTTACTGAGAACTACTAAAAGATTTTCAGTGCCATGTTTCTTTTCTTACTAACTGTTGAACCACATTTTGTTGAAGTGCTCTTTCTAAAGTGACATTTTAAAACACTGTGCTGGCTGAAGATAATATTATCATGAGTGCTAAAACTTGGCAATCCCTGGCCTACTGGGGACTTGTTGGGAAAGTAACGTCAGCTCTATGTGATTTCTGTGTAATGCTTGTGGGTATGAGACTGATGACAGACCAGCCAGTTAACGATGACGATGTGTTACAAGCCCCTGTGGACCAGCAATAAGATTTGTGTTGTACTCTGCTTTGTAGCCTTGGGAAATTTGTACATTTTAATGAAGGTGAAAGCTTTGAATTATATGTTCTTTTTAAACTCTAAAGTGTTTAGACATTCAACTTTATTAGGAATTTTCTGATTGTTCCAAGTACAGAGACTTTTTACTTGGAATCTGTTATTTACATGTTGGCTGTCACTCTCTCTTGTGCACCCATCACGGAAACGCACATAAACACGTCTGGAGTGGGAAAAATCACAGAGAAGAAAGCAACTGGTGACTGTTTTGTGCTTTTTAACCAGTGTTACTAATATCCATAACATGCAGGCCCACCGCTGGTACTGCTGATTCGTCACTTTGATGTCAGTTGCCATGACAGTTTTTGCTTTTTCATTCTCAGTATGGGGAAATGCTGAGCTATTGGCCAAAGAAGGCCAAAAGTCTCTTGGCCTTCTATTTGAGACATTTTTCATAATTCCTGAGCAGTGAGAATTTAATTTCCATAATTGTTATAGCTTGTTATTCAATGCAAATTAACCTGCATTTGTTTTAGATACCATATTCTTAATAAGCACCATTTATATTAAGGTAGTGTTCTGTTCAGTACAGTTTTCAAATGGAATTACCTGTAGAAAACAATTGGGAGATATAACCATTTTAAGACAGTTGAATTAACAGAGAAGTTGAATAGAAGAAGACTGTCATTGTGGATTTCTCCTGTAGTCTGGTAAATTTAAGCTGTTTGGAACAAAAATCTTAGTTTCTTATACCATCATTTTTAAAAAATCTTTAAATTTTTAATAATTTAATAATTTGACATTAATTCTATTATGCATTTATATTTTTCATCAAATGCCAGTATTTCTCTTTAATAAACTGGGCAAGTGAAATAGTACGATAAGTGTGCAGGTTCAGAGAACTTAGCCGAATTCACAAGTTCTTTTTCAGTCAGTAGCACATTACAGTGAGTAAACACAGTAATTAAACTCTGGAAAGCCACTTGGATCTTCAGAATATATGCTCTTTCCAAAACTCATGCAGAAAAAATAATCCATAAAATGTTAGATTAATGATATGTCAAGATTGTTGGGATATTATATTTAGTATTTCTTATCTGATGTTTTTCAGCTCAACATGAACTCTGCTCCCACGTTCATGCATTTTCCTCCAAAAGGGAGACCCAAGAGAGCTGATACTTTTGACCTTCAAAGAATTGGATTTGCAGCTGAACAACTAGCAAAGTGGATTGCTGACAGAACGGATGTTCATGTATGTTTTTATTCCCTGCAGTTTTAATAAGAGGCTAATTAGTTTGCTTTGTTAGAGCACTGTAATAAGGCCACAGCATTTTTAAAATTACGCTGTACAACATTTTTTCTTGCTTAGAGAAAACTGTCTGATAGCTGTAACCTGAACTTTGACTGAGTTAGGTGAATTTAAATGGCCGTTTAGAATAATGGTACACGGATACTTTAAGAACCATTAAAAAGTACATGAGTTAGTCACAAAGTAATTTCAGAGGCTAAAATATATATGGAACATTGTTCAAAGGTATTTAAGAAATTCTCATTAAAAAGATGTGTAATTTTTATTTAGCTTTTGGGCAAATAAAAATGATACAATACTCACTTTTCATGAGCCATGTGAAAAAATACTCATATATGCTGTTCTTGGGACTGGAATAACTATTTTAAGAGCGCGTGTAATGTCTTTCTTTTAAGTAATGTAACTTTAACAATTCCATGTCTTAACCTAAGGACATAATTAGGGATGATTCAAATACTTAGCCATAGAGACTTTAATTAATTAATTAATTTATTTATTTATTTATGTGTGTATTTTTTAGAAATATTTTAAAAATAACATTCATTGTAGTAGGAAAAAACTGGAAATAAGTTACATACTTAAAAGATAGAGTAGTTGAATGTACTATAGCATGGACAGCAATGATCTGCAAGTACATATGACATCAAAAGAAGCCCAAAGTGTAGGTTAGAAAAACAGTATTTATAGTATGATCTATAATTTTGTTTTAAACCATAAATAGGAGTGTGGATATGTAGACTGTTTATTCAGGAAGTAAACAAGCCAAAATCTTGATGGTAGTTAATGTCTATGTGGAGGGCTCAAGGCTGCTTTATTCCCGGTTCTCACCAGAATTTTCCAGAGTGAACAATTACAACCAGTACCTTTCTTCTAAAATATGTAACTATATCATAAGGTGTAAACACATTTATTCTTAGTCAAGATGGGTGTCTCTCATCACTGTTAAATTATTTACATCATGGGTTTTAATGATATTTTGGCAACTAAACCCGTTTTCTTAACTCTTGACATAGTTTTTAAATGTTTTGGCAAATATTCAGTTCTGCAACAGTATCATGTAGTTCGTACAAGATACTAAGGGTAATATTGCAAAAGTACTATTAGTTCTTTATAAGAGTTGCTGAATTTTAATCAGAAATGATCCTAACTTGTTGATCATACCTATATGTTAAGTTACTTGATAAATATACTTTTGTTAAAAAATCTATTTGAGGGGCACCTGGGTGACTTGGTTAAACGTCCGACTCTTGATTTTGGCTCAGGCTCCTGGTCGTGGGACTGAGTGCCACTTCAGGCTCCATGCTAAGTGTGGAGCCTGCTTAAGATTCTCTTTCCCTCTCTCTATGCTCCTCCCCTGCTTGCGTACATTCTCTCTCTCTCTCTCTCTCTCTCTCTCAAAAAAAAAAAAAATATATATATATATAGATACACACAATTTTTTTCTGAAGGTGAACTGCATTTCCTGAGAAATAGGTTAGAACAGTACAGATAACACCTTCAAAGATTTACACTGATGTAATGTTTTTATTTGAGCTGCTATCCATATTCTGGTCAGTTGACCTAATAATAGCCTATGGTAACATTTTCATGCCTTCAATACAAAAATCCAGTCTAGAGTTAGGTATTGCATTTAGTTGTCAGGATTTTTTAGCCTCTTTTAATCCAGAATATTTCCATAGGCTATCTTTGTCTTTTAAATACATTGACATTTTGAATCCTTTTCCATTTTTTAAATAGAATGATCCTCATTTGATATGCCTGATATTTATTTTTTCTGATATTTGTTTATGATTGGATTCTATTTATGCATTCTCAAACACAATACTACATAGGTCATTATTTGTTCTAATGACATCTTTATGCACATGATATCTGTCTGACCCTCAATGATGATGTTTAATTCTGGTCAAGGTGTTTTCCATTTCTCCCCTATATAATTACTGTTTTCCCCCTTCTCCTTTGTTGTTAGTAAGTTGTCTGTGTGGAGACACCTTAGATTAAAGAAATATCCTGCTCCTCATCAAAATTTTCTGCTGGATCTAGCATGCACTGGTCATATTACTCTGATTCAGATTTTACTATGATGGTTGCAAAGTGATGATCCAATTCTGCCGAGCCTGCTTCAGATTCTGTGGTCTCCTTCTCTCTCTAACCCTCCCCAACTCTCCTTCTCCCTCCGTCCCTCCCTCCCTCTCTCTCTCTTTCTCTGTCTCTCTCTCAAAACTAAATAATAAACATTAATTTTTTTAAAATAGCTTTTATGCTTTAGTGGGCACCATCAAGAAAATGAAAAGACAAGCCACAGAAGGGAACAAAATATTTGCAAATCATTTTTTGATAAAGGACTTATATAGTATGTATATAGGAATCTTATAACCCAGTAATAAAAAGTCAACCCAATTACAAATGAACAAAGAGTCTGAATAGACATTTCTGTGAGGAAAATATGCAAATGGTTAATAAGTACATGAAAAGATGCTCAGCATCTTTAGTCATGAGAAACCTGCAAATCAAACCTTCAGTGAGATAGTGTCTCATACCCACTAGGTAGGCTGGGATCAGTAGTGAGAAAATATATTGGTAAGGAAGTGGAGAAATCCGAATTCTCATTTACCCCTAGTGGGAATGTAAAATGGTGCAGCCACTCTGGAAAACAGTCTGTCAGCTCTTCAAATCAAGAAACATAGCGTTACCATATCACCCAGCAATTGTACTCTTAAGTATGTACCTGAGATAAACGAGAATATGTGCCCACACAAGGTCTTGTCCAAGAATGTTTATGGCAGCATTATTCACAAGAGCCATAAAGCAGAAACAACCCAAATGCCTATCAACTGATAATGGACACCAAGTTTTGTTGTATCTATACAATGGAGTGTTCAGCCATAAAAAAGAATAAAGTACTAAAACATGTTACAAGAAGTACCTTGAAAACATCATGCTAAGTGGAAGAAGCCAGTTGCAGAAGAACACATTTTATATGAAAAATCCAGTATAAGGGAAATCTGTACATGCAGAAAGTAGATTTTTGTTGCTTAGGTTTAGAGGGTAAGGGGAATAAGAGGGTTGCTAAAGGGTTTCCATTTGACCTAATCAGAATATTCTTATACTGACTTTGGTGATGGTTTATGCAATCCCTTGAATATACTAAAAACCATTGAATGGTACACTGGGTGAATTTTATGGTATGTGTATTATATCTTGGTAAAGATGTTAAAAAAAAAAACCCTTAACATGTTGAAGATGTTAAAATGCCCCAATTTGGAATAATACATGTATTACACCCATCTCATCCCTACCCTGTACTAGATGATCCCATCTTCCATAGGTGAAACACAGCAATTCTGGGTTGAATATAAGTCATGTTTGCATATGTGAACTATATGCATCTAAAGCAAGTCTTTTTACGTAGCCACGATGTTGGAAACCGTTTTTGATTTGTAAAGAGTAAAGGGAGTATTAGTTCCACGTGAGAAGAGTAGGGTTTCATCTTCCTGAAGTTTGGTGTTGAAAATTGGAAGGACTAGAATATGGTCAAGATAAAAACACTTTTACTGAAGTACTTTATCCAGCTCATAAAACTTTTGTTGCATGTTTGCAGATTCGAGTCTTTAGACCACCCAACTACTCCGGCACCATTGCTTTGGCCCTGTTAGTGTCACTTGTTGGCGGTTTGCTCTATTTAAGAAGAAACAACTTGGAATTCATCTATAACAAGACTGGTTGGGCCATGGTATCTCTGGTATGTTGTTAGACTATGCTTTTTCCCTTTTTTTCTTTGTATAATATTGTAAGTTGTATGGTTGTTGGTATTCAACAAAGGTGTTAAAGTAATTCAGCAAGGAAGAAACAGTCTTTTCTTACTGGAAAATTATGCTGCAACAGTGAAATATCCTCATGTGAATAATGAATCATAAGTTTTAGCTCACACCACATATAAATTTACTCAAAATGGATTATTGTTCACCATATGTAAAAGCTAAAATGATAGATCATCCAGAAGAACACAAAATCTTTATGACACAAAAAGCACGGACCATGGAAGAAAAAATAGTAAATAGCACTTAATGATGATTTAAAAGTTTGCTCTTCAAAAGATACTGGTAACAGAATGAAAAGACAGTCCATAGAATCAGAGAACACATTTGGAAAATATATGTGTATGGGACATGTATCTGGAATATGTAAAGAATTATTGCTACCCAGAAGACAGAATCATGGTTTTAAAAAATAAGACAATCTATTTATAGGTAAGATGGCATATATACATGCTAACCTTTCTCTCCCACTGAAGAACTATAAACCTGGAGAGAATGCAAAGCTCATCGGGTATTTGGTGTTTCTAAAAAGTAAATGTTAGCAAGTAGATCAGGTAAGAATGCCAGTATTCAAGATGACAATTAGTAAATAAAAAATTATCCATCTTCCTATCTTCCTTTTTTTTTTTTTTTCCTTCATTTGAATTGGGGCAGTTTGGAAGAGACATATATGTAGGAGATAATTCTAGTAGATTCTTGTTTTTTGTTGTTTATTTTATTATTTTTCTATTGCTCCCCAATTGTCAGGCAATCCTGTGGCAGGACAGTAGGGGCAATGAAGGCACTTGGCAGTGGGAAACTATAGAAGCCAAACTCTTAATGAGAGGAAACTTTCTCAGTCTGTCAAAATTTACAGGACTGTACACCAAAGAATAAAAAGTCAGTTTTATTGTTTAATAATTCAGAAAATAAATAGGCAAAAGATTTGAAGTGATGCTTGACTTAAAGAGATGAGAAAAAGGGCAGAGAAGCACATCAGTTCAACATGCCAATTAAATGGTAGTGAACCTGTATCTTCTGGCTCGGATGTTCTTGTGGTCCAGTAAAAGTTTGAATTTTGTATACTGATATATATCCCGTAAGCCGCCTAAAGCAAAGTGATAGGACCCTGTTAAAGAAAATACTGAACTTTGAAGCCTCTAAGGGTTATTTATTTATTGATTAATTAATTGTTTGGTTGATGTACTTGTAGGCAAAATTCCCATGTTCTGCACTGTGGGGATAAATAAATTGAGAAAGAGGTTATAGTCTTCGATTGCTGACTGCTGACTAGCCATCCTAATCTCTCCTCAATTTGAGACATTATGAAGAGATTAAAAGCTTGAAGGTTATGAAAGGCCCTTGTGGGGTCCTCTGTGGAGACCAAGATGTCAATGTTGTAAAATAAGGGTGTGCAATTGGAAAAAAAGGGGAAGGTGGCTTGGTTAAACATGTAGCACAAATATACCCTTTCAGAAAATTGCTGTATTGAGAGCCCACGCTGCTGAGTAGAACACTGTATAAATCTAGAAACAAAGTAGACTTTTTGTTTGTTTGTTTCTTTGCCACCTACAAGGACAGTACTTCCCTGCCCCACCCCCAGCTTTACTGAGGTATAACTGACATATAACATTGTGTGAAAGCTGAGGGTATACGACTCGATTTGATACCTGTATATATTGCAAAATGATTACCATAATAAGGTTAATACTTCTATCACCTCGGATAATTTACCTTTTTGTGTGTGTGTGGTGAGGACATTTAAGATTTTATTCTCTTAGAAATTAACTATAGTCACAGTGCTATAAATGACAATCCTGGAACTTACACATTTTATAACTGGAAATTTTTACCCTTTGACGAACATCTCCCTGTTTTCCCCACCCTACAGCCCTTGGAAATCACCATTCTACTCTCCCTTTCTTAAGATTCCACATACAACGGAGATCATACAGTATTAGCCTTTGTCTGTGTTATTTCACTTGGCGTTGCGTTCTCCAAGGCCATCTCTGTGTTGCAAATGGCATGATTTTTTTTTTAATGGCTGAAATGTGGGGTGTGTGTGTGTGTGTGTGCGCGCGTGCATGTGTATACACACACATACATATTTGTATATATAATGTGATTAATTATTAATCTAACAATGAACACTTAAGTTGTTTCTGTGTCTTGACTGTTGTGTATAATGATGCAGTGAAAATGGGGATGCAGATCTCTCTTCAAGATAAAAATGTTGTTGCCTTCAGAAATACACCAAGAAGTGAGGTTGCTAGATCACATGGTAGTTGTATTTTTAAGTTTTTTAAGTTTCACCTCCATACTGTTTTCCATAGTGGCTGTATTTTTTACATTCCCACCAACAGTATATAAGAATTCCTTTTTCTTCATCCCTGCCAACACTTGTTACCTCTTATCTTTTTGATAATTAATAGGTATTAGATGTTACTTCATTGTGGTTGTGATTTTCCTTTCTAGGATGATTAGTGACTTTTGAGCCTCTTTTTACGTACCTGTTGGCCATTTTTAGGTCTTTTTTGGAAAATACCTGTGCAGGTTTTGTGCCTGCTTTTTAACTGGATTTTTGTTTTAGTTGTGTGAGTCTCTTATACATTTTGAACTTAACTCCTTATCCAATATATAATTTGCAAATATTTTCTCCTATTCTGTAAGTTGCCTTTTCATTTTGTTGATTGCTACCATTGCTTTGCAAAAGCTTTTTAGTGTAATGTATTCCCATTTGCTTATTTTTGCTATTGGTGTCATATTCAAAATATCGTCAAGACCAATGTTAAGGAGGTTTTTTCATATGTTTTTTCTAGGAGTTTTATAGTTTTGTGTCTTAGGTTTATGTCTTTAACCCATTTGAGTTAAGTTTTGTGAGTGGCATAAGACAGGAATCCATTTTCATTCGCTTAAGTGTGAATATCCACTTTTCCCAGGACTTTTTGTTGAAGACACTATGCTTTCTCCATTGAGTATTGTTTACTCCTTTGTTAAATACTCATTGACAGTGTTTGTCTGAGTTTATTTCTGGGCTTGCAATTCTATTGCAGTGGTCTGTATGTTTTTACGACAGTACCATTCAGTTTTATTATTTTTTTAACTTAAATCTTAGTTAACATACAGTGCAATATTGGTTTCAGGAATAGAATACAGTGATTCACCACTTATATACAACACCCAGTGCTCATCAGAACAAGTGCCCTCCTTAATACCCCTCACCCATCTAGCCCATCTCCCACCCAACTTCTCCCTCCATCAACTCTGTTTGTTCTCTGTCTTTAAGAGTGTCTTGTGGTTTATTTCCCTCTCTTCTCTTCCACTCACTTTCCCATATGTTCATCTGCTTTGTTTCTTAAATTCTACATATGAGTGAAATCATACGGTATTTGTCTTTCTCTGATTTATTTCACTTAGCGTAGTACATTCTGCCTCCATCCATGTCATTGCAAATGGCAATATTTCCACTCTTTTTGATGGCTCAGTATTATTCCTGTGTGTGTGTGTGTGTGTGTGTGTGTGTGTGTGTGTGTGTACACTATATATATACTATTTGGTATATACCAAGTGTGTGTGTGTGTGTGTGTGTGTGTGTGTGTGTGTGTGTGTGTGTATATCTCCAAACTATACAGAGAGCCCAAATGTCCATTGACTGATGGATATAGTATACATACTACCATCAGTATACCATGGATATATATACACATTACCATCAGTATACCATGTATATACTGTGTGTGTTTATGTGTGTGTATGTATGTGTATATATATGTATGTATACGTACATACACACACACAGACCTACCATCAGTCAGTGGACATTTGGGCTCTCTCCATAGTTTGGCTGTTGTTGATTATGCTGCTGTAAACATTGAGGTGCATGTACACCTTTGATTCTGTATTTTTGTATCCTTTGGGTAAATAATAGTGCAATTGCTGGATTGTAGGGTAGTTCCATTTTTAGTTTTTTGAGGAGCCTCCATACTGTTCTCCAGAGTGTCTGCACCAGTTCCTACCAACAGTGCAAGAGAGTTCACCATTCTCCACATGTTTTCTTGGTTTCCATTTGTGTGGAATATCTTTTTCCATCCCTTCTCTTTGAAATTATTTGTCTTCTTGATGCTGAAGTGAGTGTCTAGGGGGCAGCATTTAGTTGAGTCTTCTTTTTTTATACCTTTACCCACTCTATACCTTTTGAATTACATTTAAAGTAATTATTGATAGGTAAGGACTTATTAATGGCATCTTAATGGTTTTCTGGCTAGTTTTGTAGTTCCTTCCTGTATAAATTAATGTTTTTATACAGTCGTTGCTTTGATTCCCTTCTCTTTTTCTTTTTTTTTTTTTTTTTTTTTTTTTTTTTTAAATTTTTTTTTTCAACATTTATTTATTTTTGGGACAGAGAGAGACAGAGCATGAACGGGGGACGGGCAGAGAGAGAGGGAGACACAGAATCGGAAACAGGCTCCAGGCTCCGAGCCATCAGCCCAGAGCCTGACGCGGGGCTCGAACTCACGGACCGCGAGATCGTGACCTGACTGAAGTCGGACGCTTAACCGACTGCGCCACCCAGGCGCCCCTCTTTTTCTTTTTATGTTTTGTATAATTTTGTTTTGTGGTTACCATGAGGCTCACATAAAACATCTTAAAAATATAATAGTCTATTTTACATTGATAATTTAACTTCAATTGTATACTAAAACTACCTTTTACTTTCCCCCCCACACATATCTTCATTTTTGAGGTCACAGTTTACCTCATTTTATATTGTTTGTCCTAGGTTTTCATAAGTTATTTGTTATTAAATATTTAAGTTATTAACATTTAAGTTATTAACATGCTACCATAATTTAGTATTAGAAAATTATGAATTTGAGTATATATTTACCTATGCCAGTGCTTGTTTCATCTTGTGTGTTGCTAATAAGTCTGTTAATTTTGGCAT